AGCACCTGCACCACGTACAACTTGTCTTGATTATGATTGGCACATATCTGGATGGCATCATCATGTCCCAATCCATAGATGATTTTTCCAGTCCAAAAGAGTGGCAGGAAAGAGACGACAGTACGATCTGACATGAAAGCAACACAACAAGCTTCGCTAGCTACAATTGTGATTAATTTTTTTAATGCAGTTATCATTCAGTACGGACTCATAGCTGTAACTTTTACTTGCTCACGCATAACTCATTCCTTACAAATTCTTCAAAGTTTCATTCAGTAAAAATTAAAACAGATAGTTATAAAATGCTATCATAAATGGTGAAAAAATTATATAGTGTATCGTATATTTTTTAATGCTCTATAGCCGCGTTTGACGCAAAAAAAATGATGCACTATTTAAAAAATTTTTAAAGCTTCTCTTCGCCTAATTAATCAAACTCAAACAATTTTTATGAAAAAGATCAAAGCAAATTGACCATCAATCAGTCACTTACTCATGCCTTAATCGTATGCTTCCCCCCTCCCCCCTCAGGGATTCGACCCCATGCCGACCCAAAGGTTCCCCTCTTTGTACTATTTTGAGATATCCGTTTTTGGCTGACTGACTTTTAAACGCTTTCGAGAAATCGCAAACCTCGACCCGGTGAGTTATGTATTGTTTACTATACTCATAGAGTAATTTCAGATAAGGTACACCGTCTGCTCGTCACGCTATCCTTTTTTCGGCCGGAATGATTCGTGCAACTTCTTAGTCTAATACCAATCTTAATTTTACTCATATCTCCTAGTCTCAATAGATCTAGTGTACAGCGGTTTGCGCGAGTTAGTTCCAGAATGAGAACAACTGTATTCTAAGTTTAATTCAAATTGCTCTGGTGTTGAAACTACAAATAGTTTCAACACTTACAACGTGGGTTGTAAGTTTGATGGAGTATGATTGGTTAGTATTCAGTATTTTATAGAGATAAAATATCATAATAATAACCAATGATAAATACTAGTTTAGATCTGGTTCCACCCATCCGGGGTTTAGAGAGTTTTAGTTTTTTAATCTTCTATTGTATTGAAGGATGGATGATGGTGTTTTTTCTTTAGAGGTTGCGAGTATATTCTTTTTTCTGGTTTGGAAGAAGAGATGTTTTCACGTTAGTTTCGGGAGATCGTATTACGATTTCTGATCGGTTGTGATGAGTGTTGATCTGGTTGATTTTAGAGAGTAGCAATGGTCCAATCACATTCGGGAGTGTCATGTAGTTTGACTTTGGATGCAGTGCCTGGTTACTTGGTGGATCTGTACGTATACTTGAACATCGAGATGGCCATTGTTCTGTTGCAATGGGTTTCCTTTGCTGTGATGCCAAGTCGTACTTTAAGTCCGTTGATTGTAGTGACTGTAGGCAGTATTGTCAGGTGGGTTTTGCCATTCCGTAGTTGGAGTGTGATTGGGTTGTCAAGTTCCTTGCTGCTCGTCTTCGGGCTGTATATTATCTATATATTGCATTTTTTTATTTGCATATATAAATCTTTGTTAACCTTGTTTTTTAGTCATGATCTTGTTTTAGTGTTTATCGCAAAAGCGTTATTTTTTAGTTCGGTTATTTTTAAAAGCTACTCACACTTGAGTAACTCCCGTCACAAACAGAGGGTGTTGTCACAAAGCGTGGATGTAGCACGGTGAGTGAGGTCGGCTATAGAGCATGCTCAGGACGTCCTCTTCTGGTGGGTTAGGGTGAGGGTATATTTCCATGCTCTCTTTTTTAGAGGGTCCTGTTTTAGTTCAACTTTTCGTGCCTTTTTTATTACTGGTTTTTTTCTTTTGTTGTCTTTGTTATGTTTTCTTCTCAAAAATCAAATTGTTTGTTTTGGGTTTGTCTTTCGGCTTTTTACTGTTGTTTTTTTGTGTTCAGACGTCAAAGTAGTCTTTAAAAGAACAATTTATCCAGTTCTAAGCTGGTGTTAATCCAGTTTGGGTACCGTGGGTTTTCTTTTCCTACCCATGCTGTTAGGTTGTGGTTTGTGGTGTTTAGTAAGCTTGCGTTGGTTAGTTTGGATTATTTTATAATTCCTTTCCAACCGGGTTAAAGGAAAGTTTGAAACGAGTTAAGACTTGTTGAGTTGTTGTTACCAGTGAAAGTTAAAACTTAATTTCATTATTTTAAGCAAATCTTCGTGCGCGAGCTGTGCGACTGTGGATAGAATTTGTGGGCGAGTGAATATAAGGAAGCGTCTTTAAAAAGGTTAGAACTGCTTTTTGCAATTTATGGGCAATTTTTATCAATTTAATTTATTTGAAAATTATGAATATTACTGCTTGATTTGGGGGTTGAAATTATCAATTTATGTTCATTTGCATGGAAATTTACTGCATTGGGGAAAATAATTTTTATTTTAATTTTTTGCTTTGTACGGGAAAAATTTTTACTGCTTCAATAATTGAAATTGGTTAATGGAAATTTATGAATCCAGAAAAAGTTTCATGTTTTTTATTTCGCTTTTTGTTTTGTAGGTGATTGATAATCGTGCCTATGAAGAAAAAAGAAAACATTTTAAAAGAAGGTTAGTTTTGTTCGTACTTGCTAGTAAACTTTTTAATTCATATTACATAATCGTCGGCGAAGAATCCGTATGGAAAAACGTCGTGGATGATGTCTGATGGGGTTAGTAGTTTAGCTAGTAATCGAATGATGGTTTTAGTTTGAAGAAGTGGCCAAAGCAATTCGAGTGCTTTAATGATGTTGTGCTCTTCAGTGCTAGGCGAGAGATCATATGGTGTGTTTTGAATTAGGTTATAGAGTTTATGATTATAGCGAGTGTTATATATGAATTCTAGGATTGGGACTTCAACGGGCTGGAGGAATTTGTGTGGGACGATTAGTGGGCGGGGTTCGTCTACGTTTAAGAGTTTGGTTAGGGGACAGAAGATATACATCTGGGTGATGGGATCATAATTTCGGAGGATGCCTTGTAAGTTAGTGTCTTTAATACAAAGTTAAGAAAAAATGGTGAGTTTTTACCGAAGTCGCCTCAAGACAATCCGAGCGGAAGAAAAATTTCATATTTATTATACTGATTTATGGTCACTAGACAGAAAAAACAGGGCCGCCTGAACATGAACAGAATAAATAGTTTTTAGAAAATTTGCTTCGGAAATGGAAAATTAGCAAAAAATAGAAACAACAGAGTTTTTTTGACAGCATTCGATCTATTTCTTTTTTTGTTTTTTGGGTCACCCGTTCTTGCGTAATCTGACATGGACGTTGTCGCATGAGTTCAACCTTCTTGCGAGGAGAGACTTGATTAACAGTGGGTCGAGTGGCCGAAGATGATTGCTCTAACCCCTCAGCTTCCACTGATTTAACTGGCGCCAATGATCGCCAAAAAACGTGAGGAGATTCTGGCTGTGAGCTGAGGCCCTAGTTTCTCAGGTTGGTTAGAGGTTTGAGTGGAATTTTAAGTGACCACAGAGGCATAACCGCTGCCAGCCACTTTGCCAGAATGAGCCACAGTCGGATACGATTTAAAAAATTGTGGTCCGCGCGCTGTTGTAATCTGAAGAGTTGGCCATTACTCTTCATGAGCAATTTCTTTGGCAATGGAATCACCGCGAACACCTTCTCGGACATTGTCGGAGGCAGAAAAACAGCTGGATTATGTTGGTCAGAAATTGGTAATGAAGATGTTTGTGTCGCAGGGTTAGGGTGGTCCACTACTGAGCCTTCGCTTGACGAGTCAGCGGTCAAGTCCACCACCGTGAGACCTGAGCTGAGTTTAGCTGCTTTTTGGCCCCCTGGGGTTGAATGAGACGACTGAGATTTTGGCGTAAGCTATTTCTCTCCCCAATTTTTGCTTAATGCAGGAAGAGGTTGAAAAAAATGCTAAGGAAATCATTTTAAAAGAAAAACTTTTCGGGAAAAATTTTTCTCAACATGGCAAATATTTCGAAACACGATTTTCGATTACGAATCACGACTGCGAAAGCTTTCATAAAAAAAATAAATTAAATTAGCTAGAAATCATTATCAGTATCAAAAAACCCCCTGAAATAAAATGCAGTCCAAGTCATAGTTTGTGCATAATCAATAGACAAAAAAATGATAAGCAAATGAGGACTACGATGGTTTTTCATTCCGTCCCCTGCAATTGGAGAAGAATTTTTGAAAGTTTCGCTGACGAAATCAGGTAGCCCAAATAATGAATATATTGCTTTTGAAACCCTTTCAGTCGTCACGTCGTTTGAGCAACATTCAAATATGTTTTTTTTTTAAATCCATGTGGCAAAAATTTTTTGGTTATGTTCTAATTTCGAGCAAAAGCAGGAATGCTAGCAGGCCTAGACTGTTAGGATGCAATTTACTTTATGCCCCAAAACTTAATTTTAATCTTAAATTTTTTTTTGAATTTTTTCAGCACCTTCGTAGTGACTTAAAGTTTTTTGAATGTAAAAAATATGCTTTAGCTCTAGTGTTTTGCGTTCAGAACCTCTCAATGCACCACAGGCACAAAACGACCCAGTTTGAATAGCTGGATATCCTTTTTCAACATTATTTCTCAGCATCATGATATTTCGGGTCGCCCTAATTTGGTTTCGTGGAATGTATAAAACAATAAAACTAATTTGTCATCATGGATTTTATAAAATAACAAAACTAATTTAACTTCATAGAATTTATAGAAACAATAAAACTAAAAAAAACGACTTCAATGTAAATATGACTATGTAATATACAAAATAGTTGAAAGTTAATAATAATAATAAAATATTAATAATAGTTTTAATAACAACATGATTGGGTTCAATATTTGACACAATAACTTTAAAAAATTATTCAGTAATTTTGCGAATGTTTTTTTTTCAACTTTCTTAAAATAATTTTGCTGTCCGGTAGGACCTCGGAAGCGTTGCAGCTCAGCTACAGAAAATGGTTAATAACGGCTGAAATTTTTTAAAGCAATAGTTGTTAATATTGGGTTGATCAGAGATTAATGTCAGTTAGCACACAACTTATTCTAAATAAGAGTGGAGACAAAACAGTCAGGCGTTTTTCTCGACACTGAGAATTTTTTTCTAAATAAATATCTTTATATGAGATCGGTTTTTATCAACCGTCGCCTTTTCACGAGAGCAGAACAATCTTTTTTGTTTTGGCCGCAAATTGGAATTCTTCGATAGTCGTAATGAAAGGTTTTCCTTTGGTTTCGATTGCAAAAAAGAAAACGAACACGCTCGAAATAAACCCAGAAGCCGCAAATATTAAAAAGGGCAAGCTGTTATAAGGTCCTACTTCAAGCTGGATTATAAACGGTGCCGAAATCGAAGCTACTCTCGCAAAGGACGAACAGAACGTAAACCCAGTAGACCTCACCACTGTCGGAAATTGTTCGGGTGTATACGCATATAGCGAATTGAACGAGGCCGTTACTAGGCAACGCCCAATCATAGCGAACCCAATCTGTAACTTACCATCTAGAATTGGCTTAGTAAATGGTATGACTGCACAAGATATGGCACATATGAATAAGGACATATAAGCTGTTTTTTGGCGCCCAAATTTATCCATGGCAAACAAAACGGTCCAAGCCGGTATTTCTGTAGAGGAAATTAAATAAGCGTTGATGTACAAATTACCACCGATACTTCCGATGATGTACGTTAAACCGTAAAATACTAGACTACATGAAAACCAAGTTAGAGCACATGTTAATGTCAACATTGAAGTGTGAAATGTTCTAAAAAGGTCAAGTAAACTCGCCTTCTTAACATTTTCAGAATTTTGGGTCGATCTTTTTCTTTCGAATATGTCAACACTAACATTTGAAATACTTTCACTTTTGACACTATTTTCGTTTTCGAATGCAAAGTCAATCAAACAAGGGTCCTTTTTGTTAATTTTTGCTATTTCTCTGAGACGTTTTTGACTTTCTTCAAACCTGCCAACAGAATGAAGCCATCGCCCACTTTCGGGCATTAAGAAAAAATGGAGCGGAATATATAAAAATGCAGGTACAGCCATCACAATAAGCTGTAATTTCCACGAATTTTCGAAAATATATCCAACAGTTATACATGAAAACTCTCCGGTGAAAATAAACAAACTAGATGTAATTGCAACAAGTGCAAATCGAGATTTCTCGACACTTTCGCTCAAAATCAAAAAATCAAGAGCGAAAGTCAGAACGCAAAAACCGACTATAAATCTGCAAGTTATATACAAGTAGATGCAGGAGGCAAAAGCGTTTAACGTTGTGCTAGCAGTCAGCCCGATCAAAAGCCCGAATGAAACCCACTTTCGCCCAAATCGGTCGCTCAAAGCCCCAGTCACGAAGCAAGAAATAAAGTATCCGACCCAATAAATTGAATTTGACAGCGAGTTCAAACTTTTCCGACCGCCGCAAGCTAAATCAAACTTACTGACTATTGAACTTTCTTTGTTTTTATATTCGTATTTAGGACAGTTGTCAACGCAAACGTTGTCAAATGAAGTGTCATCATGCTTGTCCGAATTGCTAGCTTCTGCTTTTAATTTTAATTTCAATAACTTCAATTTTCTCAATATTTAGCCGGAATAATACCTAAAGGAGTGTAGAAAAACCGACAAAAAATACATCACCTTTGTGTTTTACAGATTTATTGCTGTCTTCTAACAGTCAGTTCAAACGGGGTTTTCTTCTCAAGTAATTAATTTTAACTTTTCTTGTTTTGGCATTGCTTACTATAAAATGCTTTAAGCTAAAAGCAAAAAAAAAGTTTCACCTCAACTTATTAGTTCTTTTTAAAAAAAATCAATTATGGATCGGTATAATTGAAGCGAAAAAGAAACAAAAACCCAAAATGAACACTTAAATTCCTGATGAAAATTGAAGTCCCTTGCTCAAAAAGCGGTTCACCAAAATCAGAGTTTTGAACCTCTCCCGATACATTCATCTGACAGTAAAAGTCCACTTTTTGACCGGCAAAAACTGGAACGTAAGCCTGCCATCCAGAATACGCAGAGATGTACGTTGACAGTAGAAAAATTGTGAGCTGCGCCCTTCCAAAGTTGCCCGCCTTTTCCAAGTTTGAGTCAAAGTCATTATTATATGCTTCCCTCATCATCATGTGAACCAAGGTAAATGAAATTCAACGATGATAAAAGAGTGTTGATGTTGACTGTTTCTAAAAATTCAATTATGAAACTTAATCAGAAAATGGATGTCGACGGGCACAAGCGACAGTTTTAGCCAGCCCAAATACAAAATTTGCCGCAACAACTAACTTAGCTATGAATACAAGCGACAATTCGTATGTTATTTGTTCGAGAACTGTTTGCTTTTCACAAAAACTTACACCATTCAAAACAACATTCACGTGAGAAATACAAGACAATGCCGAGCCAAAATTCTTCTGACCTAAATTCGGCCAGCTAGACTTTCGGCATTTAAACAAAGTCGCCATTTGGAGGATGTACAATAAATGGTAAGTTTATGTAGGTGTTTTGCTGTCAACTACAAAACTGTTGAGAACCATTAAAATCATAGCACTTGACTTTCAACTTTGAGGCCCTCAGTTCCTGTATTTGATCCGTTCACATGGGACTGAAAGCGTGCGTGTGGGGGCTAGGTTCCACATGGGACTGAAAGCGTGCGTGTGCAGAGATGTACGTTGACAGTAGAAAAATTATGAGCTGAGCCCTTCCAAAGTTGCCCGCTTTTTCCAAATTTGAGTCAAAGTCATTATTAATAGCTTCCCTCGTCATCATGTGAAGCCAAATCATTTAAGATTCGACTATGTTCGACCGAGGAACAATATTTCGACCGTGATCCAATACCATAAAAAAACTTTTCGACAGAGCTTAACCTAGGAGTAATTTAGACCAGAAAGATAATCAACTATGTTCTATAGAGAAAAAATTTTTTTGAACGAGTTCGACCGAAGACGCAGGTAGAGGTGGTCGAACAATGTATCAATGTATGGGTCCAACACTACTCTCTCTTTCTCTCTCTCTCTCTCTCTCTCGATTTTGAGTAACAAACGAGTCGAAGAATTTCTGCTGTCAATTCTGGCCAACTTTAGTCAACTTCTGGTAAAAAATGCTCAAATTTTGTTATACATGATTGAGACTACTACATTTTGTTAAAAATTATGAACCATTGTTGACTGTGGTCGAACTTCTAATCAGAATTTCCAACAAAAAGGTAATAAAATTTTAGGTTTTTCAAGGTTATACTAACTTTGCCCAATTTATAGTTTGTAAGTATGGTACTAATTTGACTTTCGTGATGTTAAAATTTAATGGAACAAGTTTATAACAACATTTATTTTATCCAATTATATTCTTGATGACTATCACTGTAAAATATTTTAAACTAACCAATCTTGATCCATGGCGATAACTTACAATAATTTGTAAGGCTAAAACTATTTATAGTTTCAGCCGGAGAAGAATAAATTTAACTGAGAAAGCAGTTGCTCTTCCTCTCCTCTAACCTCGCAAGAATACAAGTATATGCTGGATCTGTTGAGACTAGGAATTATAAGAGTATGATCTGGATCGGTATTTGACTAAGAAGTTGCACAAATCTATCCGGCCAAAAATACGGTAGGGTGACGAACAGACGGTGTATTTTTTTCGAAATTACTCTATGAGAAAATCACCCCGGACTTCAACTCATCTGAAGCGAGCAACTTGAAACGAACAGACCTATACTATTTTAGATTTAGACAAACCAAACATAGATTAGACAGTTAGATAAGAAAAAATCAACAAAATGATACACAAATTGAAAAAAAAAATAGCGTGATTCCACGTCTGAATATGTCCAAGCAAATTTTGTTGATAATAAAGCTGAAACCAGGTCACAACCAGGGCGAAAATCCAAATCTCTGCATCGCAAAGTGAAAAAGCAGACTACAACGATTATTCATCTATGAAAGAATTCATGCAGTGAATTTCTATTCTTTACTAAATGAACTGCAAAAAATAGAGCCATAAACTTGATTTCCAAGCCGTATATTTCTAAAACTACGCAAAATTAGTGATGTACATAAACACCTAGTCGGCAAAAAAACTTAAATATACCTCAAAATCTCAAAACTCCAAAATTTGCAGTAATTCTATAAAAAATATCAAGAAAAAATTAGTTAGTAGAAAGCATTTAATCAATAACTTCTATAAAAACAAATACTTACTTGCTTCTTGAAGAATTTTTCTGTTATTGTTCTTCTTCAGCTAACATAAAAATCATAATTTGAAAATCAACGAATTTAATTCCAACTCAAGATCATCAAGACCTCTCTTGGATCTTTAACCATTTTCGAATCATTTAGGTCTTAATTACTTTTTATCAAGACTTATTCTTACTTGAATTAAATTTTATTGTATTCATTTAAAAACAGATCATCAACACTATCTTTGAAAATCTAAATTTTAATCTCCAATCCAAAGCCTAATTTTTTTCTGACCTTGTATTTTATTTTAACTTTATATTCAGATCATCAAGGCTTCCCTTGGATCACTTCACATATTTACTCCCACCTCCCAAACTAGTGTCGAACGAACTCAAGCGTTGATTCATTCACTCTTCAACCTTCTTGTACGACCAAGGATAAACTGAATTTTTTCCAACAAACTAACCGTTCAGACAAGACTAAACAGTGAAGAACTTCGGTTACTCATCCATCACTTGCACCCTACATCTTAAATGACCCAGGCCTAGAACAAATCTTGGAACAAGTTAAAACTAAAATAGTCTCTATTAACCTACTGTTGTTCTAATTATACCTGAACCTTATGAATTTATACAATTTTCTCCAACACTCGATCTCATATCAATCCCCATTTAGATAAAACTAAGTTTACTTAAGGTCACTTTAAGCTACTGTAAGGAAGGTCATATTCGCTTGAGTGCAATAGAAAAGACCGTTCTATTGGATTGATATATTCTCCCCCACCCGTCTTGCCACGACAATATACCGCGATGATTAAGATAACCTCACAAAAAGCGTAAGAAGTAACAGTTTAGTAAATAAAAATCGACACCTGGATTTTGCATTAATCACTCTAACACTTAGAACATGACTTTAATGGGAAAAAAAACAAATAATAATTCCCTATAATTGTTTGTTTAAGATTTCTACATACGACCTCCTTATTACAACACAAAAACACAAAATAGTGTATATTACTAAGCAAAAAACTAACCACATACATAGTCGATGCCTTAATACTATCAGATACAACAAAAAAGTGTTCAAACTTTAGAAAAAAAACCTTCAAGTTTTATACTAAAAAACAAGAAAGCAGCCCCAGACAAATCGATCATTTCCTCACTAGCATTAAATTTTGGGACATATCATTGAAAGACGAACAATTACATCTCTGAAATCACAAAAAGACTCAGTTCTAAAGCTACAATCACCAACTAATTGAAAGAAAATACATTAGTTTCTTGTAATGCAAGTTTTTTTTCAGCAAAAATGTATATAAAAGGCAAGTATACTTTAGACCATTCAATACATCCTACAGCAACAGAAATATTTCAATTTTCTCAATATTTAGCCGGAGTATACCTAAAATAACGAATAAGGTTTTTAGCTATCATTATTTTATGGGGTGTAGAAAAACCTAGAAAAAATACATTACCTTTGTGTTTTACAGATGTTTTGCCGTCTTCTAACAGTCAGTTCAAACGGGGTTTTCTCCTCAAGTAATTAACTTTGAATTTTTTTGTTTTGGCTTTGCTTACTATAAAATGCTTTAAGCTTAAAAAAAGTTGCACTTCAAATTATTAGTTCTTTTAGAAAAAAAAATCAATAATGGATCGGTATTATTGAAGCGGAAAAGAAACAAAAACCCAAAATAAAATTCTAAATTCCGGATGAAAATTGAAGTCCCTGGCTCAAAAGTCTTAAACCTCTCCCGATACATTCATCTGACAGTAAGAGTCCAGTTTTTGACCAACAAAAACTGGAACGTAAGCCTGCCATCCAAAATACGCAGAGATGTACGTTGACAGTAGAAAAATTATGAGCTGAGCCTTCCAAAGTTGCCCGTTTTTTCCCAATTTGAGTCAAAATTATTATTGCTAGCCTCCCTCATCATCATGTGAACCAAGGTAAACGAAATTTAACGATGATAAAAGAGTGTTGATGTTGACTGTTTTAAAAAATTCAATTATAAAATTTAATCAAAAAATGGATGTCTACGGGCAAAAGCTACAAATTTAGACAGCCCAAATACAAAATTTGCCGCAAAAATTAACTTAGCTATGAATACAAGCGACAATTTGTATTTCATTTGTTCGATAACTGTTTGCTTTTCACAAATTTTGCACCATTCAAAACAACATTCACGTGAGAAATAGAAGACAATGAAGAGCCAAAATTCTTTTGACCTAAATTTGGTCAGCTAGAGTTTCGGCATTTAAGCAAAGTCGCCATTTGAAGGATTTACAATAAAGGGTAAGTATATGTAGGTGTTTTGCTGTCAACTACAAAACTGTTGAGAACCACTAAAATCATAGCACTTGACTTCCAACTTTGAGGCCCTCAGTTCCTGTATTTGATCCGTTCACATGGGACTGAAAGCGCGCGTGTGGGGGCTACCAAGGCCAAGGTTTGTGATTCCTGCTTTGACCGACTTGAACAAAATTTGTATGTTTCGATCTTCTGGACCCAAATCATTTAAGATTCGACTATGTTCGACCGAGGAACAATATTTCGACCGTGATCCAATACCATAAAAAAAACTTATCGACAGAGCTTGACCAAGGAGTCTTTTAGAACAGAAATATATTCAACTATGTTGCACTGAGAAAATTTTTTTTTTGAACGAGTTCGACCGAAGACGCAGGTAGAGGTGGTCGAACAATTTATCAATGTATGGGTCCAACACTACTCTCTCTCTCTCTCTCAATTTTGAGGAAAAAACGAGGTCCTCTGTCGAGTTTTGTGAGTCAAAAAATTTCTGCTGTCAATTCTGACCAACTTTAGTCAACTTCCTGGAAAAATATGCTCAATTTTTGTTTTACATGATTGAGACTACTACATTTTGTTAGAAATTGTGAACCATGGTTGACTGTGGTCGAACTTCTAATCAGAATTTCCAACAAAAA